GAATAACCCTGAAAAGGAAAACAATGAGTGAAAAAAATCTTGGTTATGATACCTACCACATCACTGCCTCTTCATACTATTCTTAAATTACTAAAACCAGAATGAAAATCTTTTCCACTAATCCCATGTTCCTTTTTTGTTCCCTGCCAGTACAATCATCACCTAAAGCTCTGTGGACAGCTGCTGCCATAGAGCTAGGATAAAGATACGTACAAAAGACATACTATCTTTGTGGAAGACGACACAATTTTGCATCTTCCGGTGAAAACATTGAGCAATCAGAGGGTTGGCTTTGATAGTCTACCTGACCCCAGTAGAATTATTTTATTAGAACTGAAACCCATACCTGTCAGATTATTAAAGTTTCTTCCCACGTGACTAATGGAAGACAAAGTTGTGGTCACTTTATCCACAGGAAATCAGTTACTAAGCGTCAATAGTGTAGGAAGCAGTAAGAATGTTAATGTTTTAATCTGGAAAAGTTTCAGCTCCAGTTTCTGTTGTAACAGCTGATACTCTCTTTCTGCCACACAGTCTTCTTCCTCCAGTAGAATCAGGCAAGAAACTGGCAGACTGCTCCCTAAATGGTCACTAAGATGACCAGACTAGACTGCTACAAAAATGGGAGGTTCTGAAGATAAAGGTAACAACTCCAGTGTCCAGGAATGGTCAACTCCATCATGCCAATTAATAATTATTAGAAAATAGCTTGTATCATAGAATGAATTGATCTGTATACAAGTTGGAATACTCCTCTAGGTGTGAAACCTCACAAAAGCGTAATTTTAGTATATCTTCAATGTATTGTCAATCATACTTCAAATCACTGGAACATTAATTATTAGCAGAGGACCATGGCACAGCACTGAATGGAAAAAAGTGAAATATCTTTTCCAGGGAACCTTAACATATTTTTAAGGGCCAGAAGGGAAATTTGGGAACACCTTTGCTCCTCAAGTACAGAAGAGAGAGGAAAAATGAAAACTCCCACCTTTTTCTCTGGAAAATTTGACCTATAATACAGGAAGTTATTTCACTGGAGAGGTACTCAATACACTATCATTACCTAAAAGATATATCTTATTTAAAAGATGAACATGTTAGTAAGGAGGTTACTGTAAATTTTAAGTTTTGACTTTGATGCAATCTTCTAAACTTAAATACACTTAGATAAATATACAATTCAGATTGAACTTTCCATTTTCTCTCCAAATAAATTCATTTTTCTGTGACACTATCCTAATAGATACAAGGAATTGTTCAGATATCACTATACTTTGCCATGCTACTTCCTGTGAAACCAAACAAGGTAGACCTAATAATTTTCCCTATTAAGGGCAGATCAATACTTGCAGGTACAGGTGAGAGCTGTTTCACTTTATTTGTACCTGCTGTTGATAGGCTTTGCATACTTTTAGAACAAAAATACTGTATAATACCTGGAAGAAACACTGCCTTCACTGAGAAGTGAAGCATTCTGTATGAATACTAAAGATGGAAAAAACCTGCCAAAGCTAAAGTTTTAGCTAAAGCAGCTAAAGATACACTTTTTTCTTAACAGTTAGCATGCCCTATTGCTAACCTTTTATATATTTAAAAAAACAAAAACAAAAACCCAACAAAACAAAACACCTAGGTGAATTCCATTTTTAAGTGAGGAATCCAATCTCACATCTCTAAGAAGCTAATGTCTAGGTCTTACTGTATTTGGAGATAGCTGGGACTCACCGAGGCTGCTATAAATCCTCTCCAGTCTCTTTCTAGAATATTCACAAGAGAAGGAGGAGGAGTGGATAATCATATTGTTGTATGCTGCTATGAAGATAACCAGTCTGACCTGCATCACTCATTTATCCCATGAGTGCAAAAGACACAAAGGATGCTTACAGAAGCTAAGCTACAGATGCCTCTGAAATTTGTTTCCTGTATTTCATTGCGCAGGTTGAGAAAAAACGAAGTAACATTTTCTAGATTTGCAGAAATTATTTTATCATTCATTGATATTATCCTTTCAAATGATAGGAGGACAAATTTCAGATTGCTATTTTCTATTTTCCCTCAACAGAGAAGTAATCATCTGCCTTGGAGACAGCTATGCATGTGAAGCACCTAATTTATACCAGAGTATTTAAACACCAGCTAACCATAGTTTGCTGCAACTGCTCTTTTAATCATTAAATGCTGGTTACCACCTAGCCATAGTTTAATTTATGCAAAATAGTAGGTTTTATATGCACAAGAATCAAAAGATCCTAAGTAATAGAAGTTTTAAATATTGTAAAAACAGTCATTCAAAGATTGTTACCACTAGTTAATACAATCAAATAATTATTTGGGAATACGAGGTCAAAACCATCCAAAACTTTGCAGACAGGCCACAAGGCTGATTCTGAAACTGTTACAAATACTACAGAAGATGTATTATTGCAGCTGAATGCAATATCTGTGTTTACCAGACCACTAGAAATTAATGTATATATTCTAATTATTAATAAATCTTCTATTGCCACTTATGTCAAAGTTTTGATTTCATTGTTCCTTTCTGTATTAAGAAAAGGCAATCGAACATATTCCACATTGACTTTCCAACATATCAGGGATTCGGGACTGAGATTTTAAAGAGGAATGTGGATATTGATTTCATAGTACTACCAGTACCTCAGTCTCTTGTTATTCCTATTCTCTACTTTCTGAAAGGGTACAGAACACGTATGAAAATTATTTTTTACTATATTAGAAAATTATGAAAAAGGTATTTGCTATCTTTTTCAAAAAGTTAAAAAAAGGCAGCTAAAAAGTAAATTAAAAAACCCACCTACGTCAGACGTATCCACACGGGAGTTCTCAGGAGATTGCTGAAAAGCACATGAAAGGAAGTTTAAGACCTGGTAGCATAAGCTATATTAACTAGTCTGTAGAATTTTCTGCTCTCACTACTTGCTCAATTTTTTTGGTGGGGGGGTGGTGGTGAAACAAACCCAGTCGTATTCCACAAACTATGTCCAAATCACACCGTCTTTATTAACAAATCTGTATACACATTTGTCTTGATTCACATCTGATTACTCAATGGGGAAAACTATTTTCTTCCCAGCCCTTCTATATTCAGACAAATTATGCAAGGAGAAGCTATTATACAACAAGAGCAAAAAAACACTTGACAGATGAATTCTAATCACCAAATCTTTATCAGTATGTACTGGGGATTTTCTCTGTGTTCCAATGTATAAGGAAAGTTTCTTAACTGCCCACTTTAAACAATTTGAAGTTTGCCTACTTCAAACAATCTATATATAATATTGCGAACAGTTTTTTTTGCTCTATTTTGTAGAAGTCTTGATAGTTGCATAAAAAGCTCATTTATATGGATAAAGAGCCTTTTCTAAATGTTTACAATCTACATCTGACATCACATTCTTCAGAATTTCTTTTAAAAAAAGTCTATATCTATTCTGTCCAGTTCAATCACAAAATTAGTGTATTGTGGCTTAAAATGACATCAATAAAATGAGGCAACCCTAACTACCATCTATGTAGAACAAACAATTAAGAGTGACCAGTGAGATGGCCTATATCACTCTTCAAATGCTGAATATTTTCTCCTTAAAAAGATAAGGAGTCAAAAGAAGTTATTCTAGACAACCACAGATTTTACAAATAATAATTAAAAAAGTTAGACGCACATCTGGCCTAACTAAAAAAAAAAAAACACATGATGGTTTAAAGCCTATGTCCAGCTTCTCTATTCCCCTTTAAATAAACTTAAAAGAAGAGTAGAATTCAGCTGAAATCCATGGCTGATATCATGGCTGTTATTTGATACCCCAAATATCACAATGGGAGGGAGGATATGTAATTATATGAAACATATATAAAGCCTACCACAAACAACATGAATAGGGACATAGTAAAAATTAAAAAAAATTGCATGAATCCACCATCACAAAATGTATTAGACCACCACAAAGAAGTCCAGAACTTGAATTCATCACCATCTCAAAGCACAGAACCTATCGGGGAGGAAACAAGTAGGGGAAGTATACTAGATGATCAACATTAACCAGAACATGAAGATTTGAGTTTTACACAAAAATGTACCTGGTAAGTAAAGACACATCTTTCCTAAAATAATGCAACTACACATGGAGAACTACATGAGGGGAAATATAGAGCAATTGTTTAATAAGATACCTGAAGTTTGAAGAACTGCAGTGAAAAGAACTGCAGCAAAATACTTTAAGCCCTCAATTTTTTCAGAAGTACTTATTTAAGGAGAAGAAAGTGACTCAATTCAGCAATTAGTAGGTCTTTAAAATCTAATTTTATAGCTATGGCACAGGACCCCCTGCTCATCATTAATTTCTTAGCTTTTGACTACATAAATCCGTTTTCCCAAAGAGGCTTTATAAAAGTAGATGCAATGTGGTGCCCATACCTGATGCATTGTTGAATGTCCATCTTCAAAATCACTGGTCTGTTGCTTTGATATATCTTAGCATGCATGGGAGGAAAAAAATAATTCTATATCAATTTGATAGGTCACAGATCAGCGTTGTACCTGAACTCATTAATTCTTCATTTATATATGTACTCTTATTTATTTTGAAAAATATTTAACACAAACATTTAAAAAATGGAGAACATACATAGGACGGAAACAAAGAATAGACAAGTGACAGAACAACGTTCTAGTCAAATATAGCAGAATAATTCTGGTCAGAGATGTGTATCTACCATAATACACGTTTTCTTCTTAACCCGTGAAGTGCCACACAAAATAAAATTTGCCCCTTTATCAGGTGGTATTACTTGTAGAAACGGAAGACAACTGCAAACTTTTTGTGCACTTTCTTTGCATATGTTGGAAAGGATAAGAAAAAGACTAATTACTCCTGAAACCTGAGGGTAGAGCCCCAAACCTCTATTGCATGTTTTTAATGATTTTTGGCAAGGGGGCCTTCCAAAACTGCTATGCCTGTCTTCCTGCACAGATAGACCCACTCACAATTTTTGTGCTCCCCCCTGCCATTTATTTCATAAGAAGCAGAAGAAATATAAGGAGTGTAAGAGCTGTCTAATTTAGCAGATCTCTCCCCGTTTTACATTTCAATCTATACTTTGTTCTTCATCAGCTATCGCAACTCAAATGGATTTAAATAAAATCCAAAACATATTAGACCCACAGAGAAGTAGCTATCTTCAAATAAATGTGACTTCCACATAAGCTTATTTCACAATTAGCCTCTAAGCCAGATATTGCTGCTATTAAAATTACTCAGACTGAAAACTGTTTTGGTATCACCGAAAAAAGTTACATTTCTAACCATCGCCTTGTTAGAGTTAAAAAAAGGCATCTATAACAAGCTACAACCTCTCAAGTCTGTATACAGTGCATATGATTATGATGTGCATGTAAAAATTATTGCCTAAATCTTTTGTTAATACTGCATAAACTACAGAAATTTAATCTTTCCCCCAAAATAAGATCTATATCTCCAAACATATGACACTGCTCATACTAAAGCTGCAGTGGGACTTCTCATGATTGGATGCATGCGATAGACTTAAATACCAAAAATAATACATGTGCTTTAGCAGATACGTTTACCCTACTCAAGACTGTCATAAACAAGTTTCTGTTTAATGCAGAATTTGTTGTCCTTGCTTTTTTCTGCATTTCTGTTTCCAGATAAACTGTTGTCAAATATCACAAGCGATTTATTTTTTTGGTTAAACGGTGAGAAAACTTATCTCATACCTAACTCAGGCACATAGGTATTATTCACTCCTATAAACACTTCACATTATTTAATAGTGCCAAGCATACATCTAAAGATTCCCAGTTTTCTAAAGGCTTAAAGCATATGGAAAGGAACCTGAAGATGTCATATATTCCTTCTTCCATTTTAAAGTAGGAACAACTATACCTAACTTAACTCTAGGAGAAGTATAACCCATTCTTAAGAGCAACTCCATAATTTCTAAGAAACATATTTCAGGACTTCCTTATGTTTACATTTGGAAAGCTTTTCTAATATTTAACCTAGAGGCTCTCTTTTGTTCTTTTTTTTTTCCCCTCTTCCATTTAAGTCCTATCACCAGTGGCTCTAGTAATTTTTTTCTTTTTCTGACTCACTCCAGCTAGTCAAGCTACTATCAAATACAAAACAAAATACTCCACCACAAGTTTTATCACTGTTGAATAGTGCAGAAAACCTATTTTGTGTGCTTTACATACTAGGCACCTGTGCATGTCTTCTAGCACAGTGTGCACTATTTTCACAAGAGTGATATTCGTGGTTGGCTCAGCCAGCCTTCAAAATTGCCTCTTCCTGCAATTGATTATTCCTACATAAGTCTATTACTTTGAACTTCTCTGCATGAAATTACACAAAGTTTACTTTAAGTTTTGGCCCCAATTTGTCAGACCATCTTTCACAGTGGTCATCCCTACTTGGTATCATCTGCGAGTTAATTAAGGGTATCTCCTCTTTTACTATTTACTTAATGAAAGTATAAACTAGTAATTTGCTCAGGACAAGTCCTGGAAAAAATCCCTCATGTTTCCCTTCAGTTTGGACGCAGACCACCGATAACTATTCTAAGCACAGTTTTCTAACCAGTAGGAAACGGGGCTATAAAACCACTCTCATATAAAGTTAGTGAAGCATATTATATAACTAGAAGGCTCTGGCTTCAGCTTGTAACCTTCTCAGGAAACTTATGTTCACTATTTTGCAAAAAACTACAGTAAAGCTTCCTTTAGAATATATTAGCAATGCTTTTTTTTTTTAGAAGCTGAATAAAGCATTTTCCAAATATTTCTGTATTGGGAACCCAGGAAATCAGAATAACACGGTAATGTCCCATTGAAATCCCTTACTGCTCTTACTGCGCAAGATCTATGAAACACCACAGAGGGTGTTTTGTTTCAAAAAAATTTCTCAAGGAAAGAAAGAATTTTAAGTGGCTAATATATGACAGAAATATTGCTCTTCTTGGAGCTTGAAATTTAACATACTTGGTCCTCCCATACTCAGAACTGCCATATGTTAAAAAAAACCCCCGAACACTCAAAAGATTGTCATTTTATCCAGTAAAACTTCATAAGTGTACCGGACATTCTATCCAAATAGTAAAAATAGATTCTAGCAAAATTCAGAATTGCGAGTTGGAAAAAAAATAACACAAGTTACATTCCAAGGGAAGGGGTTAATTAATAAGTATTTGGGTCTTACAAAGATATTTTAAATGTTCACACTTAATAGCACAGAACTTTATGTATCCTAACTGAAAACACATATCAGGCCCACCTAAGAGTATAGAACAAGAATATGTAAAATTTGCACATTAACTTTAATAATCCATAGCCAGAAGTTGGGTTTTTTTTGTTGTTGTTGGGGTGAGGTTTTTTGGGGTGGTGGTTTTTTCGGGATTTTTGATTTTTTTTTTTTTTTTAGGGAAACCCCAACCACAACCAGCCAGTTCAAATGCTTACTCCATGTACTTTTGTGTTTCAAATAAGAAAGTCAGTGCAAGATATGATTTGCTTAAATTGAACAAAATCCACAAGATTCTTTTATAGCATATATAAATGTACATGTATAAATACAAATCTGTAAATGCGGGTTTTTCTTTATAACAAAGGCTGTTAACACTAGTGCTATTACCCCCGCCCTTCAATATTTAGTTAAATATTTCTTCCCTGGATAACTTAAAACATAACCAAATAAAGACTTGGCTCAAGTTATATTAAAAGTTGGAATATGTTAAGTTATCAATTTTTCTGCTTTTCTACCTGATCTGTAATGCAGTACACTAAATTTAAAATTAATTAGATCAAGCCTTTGTAGCATTAAAGAAACTCCAAGTAAATTCCTTCAATAAGAACTTCTAAGGCATTCAGACCTTAGGTCAAAACACAAAGATTAACAAAAAATTACTTCTAAAAGACTTCAAATACTGTATCTTTTAAAAAACTAACTGCTAGATGCTCTTTCTTTCTGAGTTTTACTGCAGATTGTAGCCAGTCATTTTTTGTACTGTTCAGACCCATCAGCATATATTTTCCAAAAATCAGAGGCAAAGGTCTGGACCATCTGAATCTTTTTGTATCAGACCCTTATCTCCCAGCTCAACATTTTAATTTCATAGGCTGATTCAAAGTCTATACCTGAACCCTGTATGGACAAGTTTTTTGGTAGGACTGTAGAGGGAGAGGACACTAGGTTGTGTTTTTTCTTCAAATGTTCAGCATAAAAGTTTCTCAGATGAGTGTCATAAAATAAGCAACACCAAAAAAACCACCTCAAAACCTTAAGAAAATAAAGCCCAACATACCTTTGCCGTACTACACACCGTAATTTCCCCCCATCATTTACCCCAGTAAAAACATGAATTTTATTGGAACATACAGCTCCTTTTCAGAACAATGAGAAAATCTTCAGATGTCATACATTTCCCTAAGTAGTATCAGAATTACACTTTGACATACAGTCTTGATTTGACTTCCATCATGATACTTGATCTCTAATGAAATAACTAAACACCACCTCTTCCTGCAGGCAGCCTGAGTCATTCAGTATACAGAATAATCTGCTAAATTTTTGATAGCTCATCGTGCAACTTCATGAGATTCTTTTAACACACATTTTTTAACATGCCTACTTATCTAGTTATTTTCAAAAAGCTAGCAACTTTCAAATTTCTCCACTGGTACATCCACGTAAGTCAGGGTTGGAATTTTTACATTCAGTGAACATCTGACAAAACCAACAAATACAACAAAAAGCTTGCTGTTTAATTGATGAGGGGAGATTGTTTTAATCAACTTGTGGTGATAGCAACATCAATTATAATGTATTTACTCATCCTAAACATTTTAAACTACATTTTGGAATTCTTATGAATGTAAGTATTGTTGGGTTTTTTGGGTGGTTCCCTCCACAAAAAACAGTGGGTATCCTAAAGAGTTTGGCATAAAACCAGGACATTTTCTATTAAGTCAAGACTTTTTGGATAAGATAATTTATAGCACTTATTTTTTTTAAACACTTTACCTGCATTCCATTGACTTCCTCTATTACACTGCAATTAGAAATAGGAAAAAAAAATATGTCAGAACAATCTTAGAATAGTAAAAATAACTGATGCCTTTATTTACTTTGGTATATCTCACAGTTAGGCATTTCCTAAATAAGGAGTTTCCTTCAGGTTTCCCATGGCCTGGCCAGAAAAGCCACAAATACATGGTAAAACTTACCTGATCATTTACTTCTTGCCATACTGTTGCTGTTAAAATCACTACAAGAACATAAGGTATAGCTACCTTGGCCCACATAAGAGGGTAAGACAGAGAATTCCTCTTACAGTCCTTAATGGATTTAGTCTGTAAAGTTGTGCAGCAATGCTTAGTAGACGATGCACAAGGTATTACCAGGAATGGAAAAAGAAAGGGAAATACAGCACCTTTTCTGTCTCCGTTAAATCCACTCTTGTTTCCCCAAACTGAATTTCACTCCTCATCCCCTCGCTCTGTGGGGTGCAGAACAGCTTCTGTGTTAACTACCAAGGCATGCTATGCAACTTCACTTTTTAGGCAGATATTAGGAATGTAGCAGCGAGGTGACTTCTGACACTTATGTGAGAAACACTGAGATTTTAATGAAATTCACTGTTGAGTTCTTATGGGGAAGTTTAGGAAATAGAAGAAGCAGCGATTGCTTGTTTAGTGTAAGTACTCAGAATAAAAAAAAATACAGATTATATTCCCACAACAGTAATGGCTTTAGCCTGACACAGACAGCGAGTGCTGAGACTGCAAAGATGCTTTAATTACTCTAGCATTATTTTACAGAAAAAAATATCTAAAGATGAAACCAGTAACTGAAAAGCTGATTACCTGAACAAAGATAAATTGATTCAATGCATGTTAACTTCAATGACAATATTCTGATGAGATCCAAAAGTACATGTCCCCATCAGACAGCATTTAAAAAAAAATTTTTTGCAGGTTCACCAGTGGTGCTAACCCTAGTAAACGGTCATCTATTTTAGTCTATCTTATCCGACAGTCTTAACCAATCTATCCTAAAACCCTATTTTGAAGCAGATAACTTCATTGATTAATACGTCTTGCAAATATTATATAGCACAGCAAGATTAGACTATATTCTTATATATGTTATATACATAAATATAAAAAAAAGAAATATTGCTACACTTTGACTGCATAGTAGGACTATATTATTAGATACCTCAAGTACTTCCTTCTTCCATTTTTTAAGCTTCTTGGTTGACACTTCCTCCCATTGTTTTGGTCCTAGAAATAACAAGAGATATCAATATAAACATAGCTTTTCTTATAACACTATCTATAACAAGTATCACTCTAACAAACATAAACATCTAGGAAGAACATATTATATAGTAACAAAATATTATCAAATCTGAACAGCCTCCAATACAATTGCTGAAACAGAAACTTATAGGAAAACAAACCAAGATAACACTGTAATTATAAGTTAATTGAGAAGTCAGGGAAAAAAAAGAAAAATAAAAAAAATCACACGTTGATTCTAACAACACTGAGCTAAAATCCAAAAAGCACTACAGCCCCAGATGCTACGAAGAGGGGAAAAAAAGCAAATTATTTTGCTTTTTAAATTTTATTTAATGCATGCAGACTACATGGTATCTGAGGTTACTTAAAGCCATAATTAAGGCTTTACAGGACTGAGATCCATATTCATTCCATATTGAATAGAGGTTACTAAACCAAAAGCATGACCAAGCCTTTACAAATCCAAGACTGTATTACAGTGCTGTATGCATGTTTCCTCCCTCTCCTTCTCTCAATGGACAATATATATAAAATGCAAACTTCCCAGTCTGTAAAAGCCTTTAAAAAGTAAATCATATTTGGTGCAATGATTACACTGGGTTTGACACTGTGGTAGTACTTCATGTGTATGTCCAGTAAGTTCTTCTTTATGAGAATTGATGTGGCAATTTACATACCATAACCCTCACTTCAGTGAGGATAAAAACTGGCAGAACACTTCATTACCCCGTAAAGCCACCAAGATACTAAGTCACAAGTCCCACTAAAACCCTGAGCAATGTATTTTAGAATAACATTTTTTTTTTCACAATAAGCTCTCCATATGCATTATCAACTCTATAATGGATCAACAGTTACAACAAAACAGTGGAAAAATATGACATGGAATAATGTGGTATAGATTCACGCTAACCACATGAACATTCAATGAAAAGTTAAAGAAACTATCTACCCAGTCCACCCTGACATTTGACATAACAGAAGTTTATCAGAGTGGCCTTCAGAATACTAAGCGGAGATGAAACTATACAATCCATTCATGCGTATCAACTTCCTGCTAATACCTCCATTCCTTTGTTTCCCCTCTGTCTTCTCCCTTTTGATTCTTCTTCTTGCAAGACATCCAAATATTAACCATTCAGTTTCCCTGAACTTTGCTAATAACACTTTTCTGTTGTCTAAAACAGAGCACGCAATGGACTAAAATGGTGCATATAAATAAACTCTCCAGGTATTATATGTGTGTATCAAAGTTTACATAGCAAATGACATACCTAAGTGGACAAAATTCAATATCTATTGCAATTAGATGTTATATAACATTTGCATGCTTCCCTAAGTCTAAATATACAGCATGTAAATATCGAAGCTTTAAGAAGTTCTTACCGTCAGGTGTATTGTAAGTGAGAGTTTCCATGGAAACAAGTAAATCATCTTCAAAAGGATGATTATACTAAATAAAAAGGACCATTAAAGATTAGAATAAATGATTAAAACAATGTTTTTAACATGCATTTTAAGTGTTGTTTTTATACAATTTTGTTTTGACCAAAATGGGAAATTATTAGTATGTTGTTTTATTGGCCGAAGTTAGACATCAGCCATCTGGAAATATTAATTCCTAGAGGAAACACATATATTTTAAACATGTAAGTCAGTCATTCAATTTCAAGGCATAAGCCAGTCACTGACAAAACAGGGCTTCAAAGAGTTTTCAAAAGTAGTTAAGTTACTATTACACAGTTTCTTCTAAAATTCCTCTGTAGTAACTGGAAGTAGCCACTTAGCATAGATGTACAGCTCACAACATATAAAATATTCAATCTAATGCTAGATGAGAAAAATGTTCTAGAACCAGACTTAGCCTTATGCCAGTACCTAGATATTAGCACAAAACATCTCCCTGAACAGCAAAGCTGACATCCCTGAATAAATACATACATCCCTGGATGGAGGCGTATGGTTCCCACATCTTTAACACAAAATGGCTCTAAAGCAAGGAAGATTTGTGGAGGGAGTCCCCTGCTTCTTTCTGTAGTTTCATTGAAAATACCTCATCTAATGCTAGCTAATTTGGGTAAGGGCACTATAAAGACAATTCAGACTTATATTTAAGTCACGTATTTAATACTGGCAATCCCGGATCTAAGTTTTGTGGACGTATTCAAGGGGCTGGCTGTTTACTAGCTTACTCACACCAAGGCACAGGAATGCATGGCTCAGCACGAACTGCAAAGCTGCATGAGGCCCTGGGTGACAGCTGCTTTTGGCAGTCAGGAAAAACAGGAGCTTGTGAAACCACAAGTAATTAATTGACGAAGAGAATCCAATGTCAGTTACTGCAAATTAGTGCACAGAAAGAAAATTGAACCTGTCAGTACTGACACAGCAGAACTTAGAGGTGGTCAGGAAGGAGGGGAGCAGAGAGCGCTGCCACCGCCTAAGGCGAGGTGGGCAGAGGGCCGCGCTGCTTAGCAGCCTTCCAGAGGCGGTCAGAGGGACGCACAAGGGCGGCCAGGCCCGGCCACGCCACCCCAGACACCATAGCGGCAAGAGAAACCGTAAGCGGACTGCGCTCCTGAGACAGGCAGGAGCGAGGCAGGGCGGCGGCAGCCTGGAGGCCCC